CCTAGTGGGTTCTATCATTACCCCATTTTACAAATGTGGAAACAGAGGCACAGAGAAGTAAAGTGCCTTGCCTAAGGTCACACAGTGACTTAGGGTACAAGCTAAGTTGCTATAGCTAAACAACCCCAAAACTCAGTGGGTTAAATATTTCTCTTCCACGTAAGTCTGGAGCTGAGCAGTCCACAGCTGATGGGTGGCTCTGCCATCCTCAACCACAGCTTCCCTTTCTGGGGCAAGAACAGCTTCCCTTTCTGGGGCAAGCTGTACCCAAACGTGCCATTTCCCAGCTGGCATAGAAGGAAACAGGGCACCCAGCGCTGCTTCCCTTCCAGCACCCTCCTCTCACCCTGGCTTTATTTTTTGCCTGGAAGATCCCAGCAGCCTCAAGATTCAGGTTTGCTCTCTCTTGGCCTACAGTCAAGTTACTTGCCCTGCCTAAAGCCTTCAGTGGCTCCCCAGTATCCTGAGCATAAATCTAACACCCAGCTTGCAATCAGGGCTCTTCACCTAGCTCAGTCCTTCTCCAGCTCCTCCTCTGCTCCACGGGTTCTTAAACCGGAGTTCAGAGGCTTCAGGCCTGAAACATTCCTTCTGAAAAAAGGGTCCCAGATGGCCAGTTGTCCTGGAAGAATTGCCCATTTCTACTTGATCTTTATGTCCCTATGGCATGGAACACAGGGCCCAACATTTATTTACCCTTTGACACAGTAATCCTCATTTCTAGAAATCTGCCCTGAATATACATAATATACACAAAGTTATTCATCGCAGCTTCATCTGTATTAACAAAAGATGGGGATCAAACCAAATAAATAAACTATGGTACATTTATTTCTGCACATCAAACTACACAATCATAGTGGGAAAAAAACAGCAACCACGTATTTGATTTTGCTCATGGATTCTGTAGGTCAGGAACTGTGGGGATGGCTTGTCTCTACTCTATGAGAGCTGGGTCTCGGCTGGAAGACCCAGATGGATCAAGGTGTCTGGAAATTGGAGTGCGGTTGGAGGAAGGCTGGGAGAGGTGAGAATGGAATCATCCGGAGGTTTTATTTCTGTCACCTGGGCTGGGAGGACTCAAAGGTTGGGCTTGGGTAGGACTGTTGACTGGACCACCTACCCGTGCCCTCTCCATTTGGCTCAGGCTTCCTTGCACGACGTGGCAGCTGGGTTCTGAGAAGAAGCATCCTGACAGCAAGCGTCGCCAACAGGGCCAGTAACATAATTTTCAGGGCTCAGTGCAAAATAAAAATGTGGGACCCCTTGTTCAAAAAGTACAGAAAATATGACAGTGGGGATACTAAAATATAAAACTTTTTCCCTTCTTCTAGTCTCTCTCACGTGTCATGGTGTTTTATTTACTACTAAGTGTTCTAAGTAAAGAAAAATTAAAAATTCAAATTATTTGCATGAATTTTACCACTCATCTTTATATTGTGCAATGATTGGCTTTAATTTCAAACGTAAGAGCGTTTGACTCATATGTGGAATCACTGAAATTACACCATTGGTATTTCTGAGCTCGTCCATGTGTGTGTATTTCATTCTTACAGGACAGTGGAAATGTTGCACCAAACTAACTGAATTGTTTTTATTTCACTTCCTCATATGCATACATTCTGCCACTTCCTACTTACTGATGAGTAAGGAAGACTGAAAGGAAAGGAAGGGGAACAATGGGATGCACTATCTTTCCCTTTCTTTTTTCTATGTCACCATTTTCGGTGTAAGTGGTTGACTAATGCAAGGAAGTAACATGAATAATAAAGGATTTGGTAAGGTTCCTTGGTTGTCTGTTTCTTAAAATGCAACTGCCTTTTTCTGTGATCAAAGGACTTCTAATAGAAGTTTTTTGTTTGAACAAAAAGCATGGCCTCTTTGGGCTGTGCCCAGCTTAATCACAGACATCACATTCTTCCCTTGTGTTCACTTTGAGTGTCTCTGAATGTCCATGCATTGTGGATTCACCAGGATTCTATGTTCATGGGGCATTATGAACACTATGTGATGCTCACATGCGTGATCCATTGTCCCATCAGACTTCACTTTCAATACACAAGTTCAAAGATAAAATTAAGAATTTCAAAATACTGGTAGCAGATCATTATGACATGAAAGAAGCTCTTCTGAGCATGGGCCCGGCATACAAGGTAAGCATGTTAATGGAAGCCATGTAGCAGGCATTGCAAACACATATACTAATAGGGCGGCAAGAAACTAGTAGGCATATATCCTCTTTATAGGCACATGCTCCATTGTCCTATTAGACTTCTCTTACAAAACACAAGTTCAAAGATAAAATCATTAAGAATTTCAAGACTATAGGGGAGTATTCAAATAAGTAAATGACCCTTCTGAGCATAGGGCACTGTGCAGGTAAATAGGTTACATGCCCATGAAGCTGGTCCTAGTTCCAAGCCAAACAGACGGAAACCACATGGCCTTTTATAACCTAGCACGGAAAATCACAGTACAGAAGCTTCACTTCCACCCTATTCTACTGAGTTCCAGCCCACAGAATTCACAGAGCCCCAGCCCAAACTTGAGGGGAAGGAGGGAGGGAGGAAAGGAATAGTCAATAGACCCCTACCTGTTGATGGGAAGAATGTCAAAGAATATGCAGCCTTTTAAAAACCACACACACACACACACACACACACACACACACACACACACACACACACCATTTGGGTGGTAACGTGGCTATATAAAGGCCGCATTTCCCAGACTTACTTGATATTAAGGTAAGGTATGGTATGTGACCAGGTTCTAGGCAATGATGCATAAAAAGAAATATCATGTCAGGAAAATGAGAAAGCTGACCAGACCAGGAGGTGGACCTCTTTGCCCTCCTCCTGTCCTTTTACCTGAGGTACAGGTATGATCATTGAAGCACCAGCAGCTTGGACCATGAGATGAGCTTGAGGACTGAAGCCACGAACTGGGCTGGTGGGGCAGGACAATAAAAGGAGCCTGGGTTACTTTTGATCATGGAGCTGCTACCCCAGCCCTGGACCACCTTGAACAAGAGAGATGTAAACTTTTATCTTATTTAAGACACTGTTGTTCGGGACTGAAAATCTTAACTGATACACATTTTTCTCAGAGACTTGTGCAAGGACAAGAGATCCCAAAAAAGGTGTCCAGAATGCTGCCTGGTGCTAACTCTACTGGGATTCTTTTAAAAGAAAGGATTTTTAAAGCAAGAATTTTTTTAAATTACCATTCTGGCTCTGCACCTTGGCTGGTGTGATCTTCTCAGAACTCTAATCAGGTCATTCTCATGCTGACAATCCTTTCCAAGGCTGCCCACTGCCACTTGACTCCAGAGTAAACAGGAAAGCCCCAGGGGGCTGACCCTTCCCTATCTTTCCAGCTTCAGCTCACACCTTGCTTGGGACTGCTGCTGCCCTTTTGTTTTCCTGCAGAGAGCCTGAGTGAGCATGTGTACGGATAAAGAGAAAAGCAGGGCCTAGAGATGAGGTCTGGAGGCCTGAATTGAGCTGCACCTGAAGCCAGATTCACTGTGGACTTTTCAGATCCTTGAATCAATAAAAGTTCTGTTTCGATCCAACAACTTTGAGTTAGGTTTCTGTCACCTGCGAGTTAAAGAAGCCCAAATAGAATGAGGGCATGGTTGTAAGGGGTTTCAGAAGTCATCAGAAGATGCCCAGGTGTCTGATGTGGTCTTTTCTAGGCTTAGCAATGGAGCCATGATGTGGTGACATGTACTGGACAACTATTCTCATCTTTTCCAAAAATCACAGATAAACAAGAGCTCCCAGAGCCCTGCCCTCCTCTAAATTATACAGGTGGAAATGTTTATGGGGTGATGAACATGTTTATTATCTTGACTGTGGTAATGGTTTTGCAGGTTATATGTAGGTTAAAACTTATCATATGGTTCATCTTAAATATGTGGTTTATCGCATATCAATTTTACTTCAATAAAGCTGTTTAAATAAAACAAAAAAGTTACTAAATTAGACAAATAATATACAAGTCATCATTTTCTCTTCATGCCCAAATTTCCTCAGACATAGGTTCAACAAGACATAGAGTCTACCAATTGGAATTGAGGAAATACAATATTTTATTAAACCCTCACAACTCAGTGAGTAATTGTCCCTGTTCTTTAAATGAGAAATGAGATGAAGTGATTACTGTCACTTCCATTCTGCCCCTGCTCCTTATAAAGCACATCACAAACCCATAATATATGATCCCGTGTGACACAGGTATGAGGACTAGCAAATACCCACAAATAATTCATGTGATGGATATGTATTTTATTATCGATATCGCTTAACCTTGGTGAAGAAAACAACAATTAACCAGACTTGGCATTTTGGAAGAATATATTAAGAGCCACACCTGGGGAGAAGGAGGGTATATTCAGGAAGAGGGGAGTTGCCATCAAAGGACCCTTCTGGGGCACTCCTGTCCCAGTGGCCATGTGGTGGGAAGAGACTTTAGCTCGGTGGGTGACCCACATCCAAAGATTCTGGGGA